GCTGGAAAATTCATGGGAAACCTGCGAATTGGAAAGGAAAAGCTGCCATCCCTACTGCTAATGAGGTAGAGACCAGCCCCTTCACCAAGGAGCAGATGGAGCATCTTCTTGCACTGTTTAAATCTAACTCGGTACCCAATGTTCCTAATGTTTCTATGGCGCACACAGGTAATAAATTATATGCTCTATCTTGTCAATTTAAATCTGCTCCATGGATAATAGATTCTGGAGCATCCGACCATATGACCAATTCCTTACATTTGTTTGAGACTTGTTCACCATGTCCCGGAAATAAGAAGGTTAGGATAGCCGATGGTAATTTCTCACCAATTGTAGGAAAAGGCCTTATAAAAATTTCTAGGGAATAGATCTTAAATCTGTTCTCTATGTCCCTAAACTTGCTTGTAATCTCTTGTCAATTAGTAGATTATCCAGAGACTCTAACTGTTCTGTTATTTTCTATGAATCCTATTGCATTTTTCAGGACCGGAGCTCGGGGAAGACGATTGGCAGTGCTAGGATGATTAATGGTCTCTATTATTTCGAGGATAAATTTCTTAGTAATAAAATGGTTCAAAGGCTGAGTAGTATCAATTCTTTATCTGTACGTGATCAAATAATGGTTTGGCATTGTCGTTTAGGCCATCCAAGTTTCTCTTATCTAAAACATTTATTTCCAGTGCTATTTAAAGGGATTGATCCTTCATCGTTTCAATGTGAGAGTTGCTTAATGGCAAAAAGTCAAAGAAAGTCTTATATTCCGAAATCCTACAAGGCTTCAAAACCGTTTTACTTATTCCATAGTGATGTTTGGGGTCCTTCAAAAGTGACCACAATTTCTGGAAAAAAATGGTTTGTGACTTTTATTGATGATCATACACGTCTTTGTTGGGTTTACTTAATGAGGGAAAAATCTGATGTAGAGCAGATTTTTAAAGAATTTTATAAGATGATTGAAACTCAATTTCAAACAAAAATTAATATTTTGAGATCTGACAATGGAACAGAGTATTCTAATAAAGTTTTGGAAACCTTTTTAAATGAAAAAGGAATTTTACATCAATCCTCTTGTTCCGACACACCTGAACAAAATGGCATTGCTGAGCGTAAGAACAAGCATTTGTTAGAAGTAGCCAGAGCCATGATGTTTTATAGGAATGTTCCAAAGTATCTATGGGGTGATGCTATATTGACAGCTTCGTATTCTAATCAACAGGATGCCTACCAAAGTCTTACAATATATCACCCCTCTGGATTGCTTAAAAAGGTATTCCCAGAATCTAGAATCAATTCTGACTTACCCTTAAAAATATTTGGCTGCACGGCATATGTGCACACTCTAAAAAGGCTCAGGTCTAAATTAGATCCAAGAGCTAAAAAATGTGTTTTTGTAGGGTATGCACTCAATAAAAAGGGTTACAAATGTTTTAATCCCCTTACAAAACGTTTTTTTGTCACTATGGATGTTTCTTTCATGGAAAATACACCATACTTTACCAAAAATTTACTTCAGGGGGAGAAGATAGTTGAACCAAATTTCTGGGAAATTACCGAACCCTTACCTAGCACACTTCTTGATACTCTTTTTAAAAAAGAAACTTTGGAAACTAGGCCTAAAGAAACCGAAACTGATATTGGTCTGACAGAAAAAGAAATACCACGAATGGAAAAAATAGAAATAATCTTGAGCCTATGGTTTATTCCAGGAAAGGTGTCCTTAGAGGTGGTAGAGACCAGGCCATTATTCCAGCATGTGGTCAACCGGAAGCCCTGAGCAATGGTCATTCAAATACCTCAGGTAATCCTTCTTCTGTTCCTTCTTCTTCCTCTCCTATTACTGACTTAAATTTACAGTCAGATTCTAGGAAAGAGAACTCTACACCTAAACCTGTGTTGGAACCAGCCCCTGTTATCCCTGAACAAAATCTTGATCTTGACCTTCCTATTGCCCATAGAAAGGGAACCCGAACCTGTACCAAACATCCTATTGCCAAATATATTTCCTATCAAAACCTTTCTGACAATCATAGAGCATTCACTACAAACATTTCAAAGCTTGTTGTGCCTAGAAATATTCAGGAAGCACTTGGTAACCCGAATTGGAGGATGGCTGTGCTTGAAGAGATGAGTGCCTTGAAGAAGAATGGTACTTGGGAGGTTGTAGAATTACCGAAGGGAAAAAAGGTTGTGGGGTGCAAATGGGTGTTTACTATCAAGAGTAAGGCAGATGGAAGTGTCGAGAGATACAAAGCCCGCCTTGTTGCAAAAAGCTTTACCCAAACCTATGGGATAGACTATCAAGAAACTTTTGCTCCGGTAGCCAAAATAAACTCAATTAGGGTCCTATTATCTCTTGATGTCAACTCCAATTGACCCTTACACCAATTAGACGTTAAAAATGCTTTCCTTAATGGAGACCTTGAGGAGGAGGTGTACATGAGTCCCCCACCAGGTTTTGAAGAAAGGTGTGGAAATGGGAAAGCGTGCAGATTGAAGAAGTCCTTGTATGGACTTAAACAGTCACCGAGAGCTTGGTTTGAGCGCTTTGGTAAGGTAATAAAGCGCCATGGATATGTTCAAAGTCAAGCCGATCATACAATGTTTTACAGGCATTCGAATGACGGTAAAATAGCTATCCTGATAGTATATGTGGATGATATTGTGTTAACTGGGGATGATTGCGATGAGCTGGAAAAGTTGAAAAAGAAACTAGCTGAGGAGTTTGAGATTAAAGATCTCGGGGCTTTGAAATACTTTCTTGGGATGGAGTTTGCTAGATCTAGAGAAGGCATCTTTGTAAACCAGAAGAAGTATGTTCTTGACTTGCTGAACGAGACAGGTATGCTAGGGTGTAAACCTGCTGAAACCCCTATAGAACCTAATGTGAAACTACAACCTGTAGAAGCTGAGAATGTAAAGAACAGGGAGCGTTATCAAAGACTCATTAGGAGATTGATTTATCTATCCCATACACGCCCAGATATAGCCTTTCCTGTTAGTATGGTCAGCCAGTTTATGCATGCCTCAGGACCAACACACTTTGAAGCCGTCTACAGAATTTTAAGGTATCTAAAGGGGACACCGGGCAAAGGACTTTTGTTTAAGCCACAAGGACACTTGCAGATTAAAGCCTACACAGACGCAGATTGGGCTGGGAGCATAGTAGACCGAAGATCCACTTCTGGATATTGTTCATTTGTAGGTGGTAACTTAGTTACATGGAGAAGCAAGAAACAGAACGTGGTTGCAAGGAGCAGCGCTGAGGCTAAATTTAGAGCTGTAGCCCATGGTATTTGTGAGATCATGTGGATTAGAAGGCTGTTGGAAGAGTTAAAAGCGATAGAGTCATCTCCTATGAAGTTGTACTGTGACAACAAGGCAGCAATCTCAATAGCACACAATCCAGTCCTACATGACCGCACAAAACATGTGGAGGTTGACAAGCATTTCATCAAGGAGAAGATAGATAATGGACTGGTTCATATGGAACACATTCCTACCGGAGAGCAAGTGGCTGATATCTTTACCAAGGGACTGCACACAAAACAGTTAGATTTTCTAGTTGGCAAGCTGGCTATGGAAGATATTTTCAAATCAGCTTGAGGGGGAGTGTTAGAAAATCAGGGAAAATATGTGCTGTAAATAAATACTAGCTGTAAATTAGTCTCTAGCTGTAATTTAGCTATTTTAGGTATAAATCTGTGTATTTTAGGAAAGCTCTAACTAGGAATTATTCTTTCCTTTAATCAGTGATTTAGTTTCCTGATCTAATGGTTTCTTAGGTGCTGTAATTCTCTATAAAAGAATAATCTCAAATGACAGAAAATATTATTCCGTGCAACCTGTTTTTCAACTAAAAGAACGGAATTTGAAAAATGATTTTGCAGGAAGACCACTGCTTTAAAACATAGACCTAATGTTTTTCACTTTTTGTTCCACATAAATATATATCCTGGTATCGTTTTCTCAACAAAGAAATTTAAAGAGTACCACTAGAAGACCACTTCGGTTCAGTTGGAGACTCCACAACTTCAGGATCAAAGCCAGCAATACAGATGCGCTTGTAGATCTCCCTGCACCACAGAATCAAGAAGATTAGTACTATAGTCCAAGTGAAAACTAAAAATAAAGTCTCCGGTGCTTTGATTAAAAATAAGTTCGAAAGGGCACTACATAGAAGTAGGGCTATGTGATAATTAAGTGAAATGACCTTACCCATTGTCAGAAATATAGCCGACCCAAAGTTCTGATTTATCCCAAGGCATGTTCGGATGACTCCATTCAATCCATGCCATTCGTTCACCTTTTGGGTCTATGCGAGGGAAGGCATAGAAGTCATTTCCCCCCACTAGTACTTCTGGTTCTGTATGTCATATCATAAGCAAAATGGACACTAATCTTTGTCAAAATACCAAAAATCAGATTATAAAAAAAGTAAAATTCTCCTTGATGCCAACCCAATGCTCCCCCTGAATATCATCACCTCCCAGCCTAACCGTTACAATTTCTGTGGTTGCATTTGTGCTACTTTCACGACGATCTACATAGAGTAATAACATCTTATTGAGTGGATGAGAAATCCAAATAAATAGTAAAACTAAAAAATAAAAAAATAAAAAAGAACACTCAAGAATCTACCTTCCCGGACAGTAACAAATCGATTAAAGCGTGTATCAAACACTCCATCAGCATAACTCACTACGGGTCCACCATAATCTGGGGTGAGTGGTTTGGGAGAAGAATCTGTTTGTCATCCATTTTCACGTAACATTCATCAGAACATAGACTCCAGAATACTGCATTGCCCGTCACCATCAATATAACTAAGTCCCATTGGACATTCTTTGCTAAGCTAATTGCCCTACAAAGTTTTTAAGCAAAACAACCTATTTAATTTTTTAACTGAACGGCCGTGCAATGTAAAAAGTGGTGGAAATTCATTTTGCAAATTAAAATTTTTAGAAAATTATTTCACTGATAAAGCTTTCTTAGTAAATCATTTTTATAAGAGCTCCTCATGTTGGCCATAATACTAGACAATAGTAATCTAACTAGAATATTATAATTGAGGTGTCAATTATAAATTTAACATCAAATGCAATAATATTTATTGTGTTAAATTTTTTTATATGCTATATTTTTTAATAAATTTTTCACTAAATATAGCATATGAGAAATTTAACATTTCATTATTATTGGTTAAAATGTTTATTTTTTTTCACGTAATTATTATAATTTTTATATTTTTTAATTATTTTAAAAATAAAAATTTATTTTTATAATTTTTAAAGTTTAACGATTA